CAGCAGCTCTAAACCAGTGATTACTATGCATGAGCTTTAGAGTTCTTCGAGTTGTCCGTTTATTACACGTGTTGTATAAAGTGTCATTCTACTTGAAAATACCAATACTAATAGCGAGGAACATTTTAATTCAGATTTAAGTATTCTTTGTATGACTAATCTACATTTATTATAAAGATTTACAAAATGATGAAATAAGGAAGTATTCTCTTGCAAGATTTAATAGCGTTTATAAACATACTCGAGTCTTATAGTACTGTCTAACCTTAAAGCCATCTAACATTTATAGAGAAATAGTTAACATATTAAAATCATCATAGTCCTGGAATTCACTTTGGATATTTTAAAGTGTTCGTACTGGCACATAATAGCTTCCGTATATTTTATCTGTGATACAATATTATGAATTACAGGAATGTTTTTTAATTAAAAATAATTCTAATTATGCAACATTACAAGTAAAGAAATTAACAGCCTCATGAAGCCTACTGAAACACAAATGTATGTATAATAGTACCAATAGATGGCGCTAAGTTTCATCTTTTGGAAAGAATGAGCCAATTCCTTTTAAGTACGCTTTTTCTCATTTTTTCAATCCAATAAATCTAAGCTGTCAGTTGTAGCTTATTAACAGCTAAAATATTCATCTCTATTGTTCTGTAAAGACAATTGACACGTTTATATTTAACACATTAGCTTTCGGTTATTATTAGAGTACCAAAATGAATGTCTTTGTTACACATCATAATGGAATTCAGTTCTTCAATTCCAAATATTCATTCTGACTTCTTTTTTTTCCCATTTCCATGTATCCTTCAATTCTAAATTTTCTTTTCATTTCCTTTTATATTTGATATTTTCCAATTCGTTGGCACTTAACAAAAAAAAAGTGTTTTTCTCAGAGAAAAAGATCAAGTTTTGTATTTTTAAGACAACCATCTTGTGAAATTCATCCTGCTCTATAATGTAAGTGATGAAATGATCTTTTAATCTTCATTTTTCTAAGTATCACGAGCTTCTGATTTGAATTTTTGGTTAGGATCGTTGATAGAGAATAAAACTCCACACACATAATCCGTTAAAATCATCTAATGTATCAGGTGTGGCATGATGGCTAGCATGTCGGACTGTGAATCTGGGTGTCCTGTTGTCGAAAAAGCTTGCTTTGCATTTTGTCATCATTGGTACAATATAGGAACGGCAGTCTAATCCCACTATTCGAACAGTATAACCCAAGCTTTAGCAGTGGGTCCTGTTAACTTGCTATCTAATTCCCTCTATCTAGTCCATCAATTCAGAATTAGGGACGGCTAGAACATCTAGCCTTTGTGTAACTTTACGTGAATATCCTTGACTAACAAACAAATAGTCATTGAACCACCCATCCTCACTCATATTAAAAATATATAGTGTCTTTTTTTATACTATGCCAAATATTGAAAACAATGCCTTTCTTTAAATTATGCCAAATACTGAAGATAGTGCCTTTCTTTAAATTATGCCAAATACTGAAGATAGTGCCTTTCTTTAAATTATGCCAAGTACTGAAGATAGTGCCTATGCCAAACATTATTATAGTATAACGAGGTTTGTGATTCATATCCACTATTAGCCTAATATATATATATATATATCCTCTCTTAACATATTTTAAAGGCAAATATAAAATTAAACATAAAAGTAAAGTTCGAATTGTAGTTGCTATTGGTATATTGTATGATGAAAACCAAGCGAACATTTTATACATTTTATTTCCCAATATATGTAAAATCTATTCGTACTTGTACACACACACATTACATACTTGTTAGTCACTGTGAATGTCATTACAAAATTTTTAGGCCTGCCAGAAAGGAAACTGAACGTTTTCAGTCTATTCTGTGTAAGATAACACTTAGCTACGTAGTTCAATGTGTTTCTGCCCTAGTTTCAATCTTAGGTCTACTAGAAATGAACCTCAACGTTGTCATTCTATTCTGTGTAAACTATCACTTACAACATAATTCAAAACGTTCCTACCTTGGTTTTAATCTTACGCCTACCAGAAAGGTAATTCAATGTTCTCGCTCTAATCTGTGTAAGATATTACTTAGTAACATAGTCCCATACGTTCCTGCACTAGTTCCAATTTTAGACCTACCAGAAAAGAAACCCAACTTTCTCGCTCTATTCTATACAAGATATCACAATATAATTCAATACGCTCCTATTTTGATCTTAAACGTACCATAAAGGAAACAACTTTCTTGCTCCATTCTCTGTAAGATATTGTTGCGTCAGCGAGGTCACGTGACAAGTATCATGCCACCTCCTTCTAGAAATATCCTGTTCCTTCGTGAAGTGTATCGCAAAGTTATATTCAGAAAGAATAAACCAGTTTTATTTAAGAAAGGACCTGTGTCGCTAAAGTTTCGGCGGAACGAAGTTACGGAAAATTGACTAACGAACGGAGACGTAACAATATCAATTAATAACATAGATCAGTACGTTCCTGCCCTAGTTTCAGTCTTAGGCCTAAGAGACAAAAAACTCAACGTTCTCGCTCTATTCTGTGTAACTTATCACTTACAACATAATTTAATAGTTTCCGCCCTTGTTTTAGTTTTGGGGTAGCTTTTCTTGGATATTTTCGATATGTCATTTTAAACCATCATGTACATTATTTCCTAGTCAGTCACCTTATTTTATTTAGATAGTAAACACGCTTGGAGTTGTAATTTATATGCAAAGTGATAATATTTGAAGGTCATATAATATATGTTAGAGATGGCAGGTTGGTTATGTGTTCTTATTACGGCATAATTCCCAAGGTAGCGGCTACTATAACGCTGTTAGGCCTATATGTTAATCAGAGTATATTTTATGTTAATTACTTCCGAAAGAGTAACGAAATAAAGCTATTTATTTAATAACAGGTCTGATAATGTACATCACCTCATATGGTGTTACTTATATAACCATATTTCATTATGGTAGCTCGTACGGCAGAATATTAGTCTGCATCATGTGCATCTCTTACGTTGACAGAACGTCCATCCTGACCATGCTGCGTGTCCAGTGTTTAAAGTGCATACCCAGATGTTTCCTGTTGACAGAGTAAGCCTAGGGACCTTAAACCAGATGCAACACGAGTATAGCATCACATCCCACTGTCCTTACCTTTGGGTGACACTGGAAGTACTAGCTACATATTAGCTGACTATCTGATGCTCTGTCGTAGAAGATTTTTGAGGAGTAGACTTGATACTATATACATGACCACAGTTTGATCTGTAGCAGAGCACTGTCACACTTGTCTCCGGGAGTTAGTGGCAAGTTTACAGACTTAAAACGCTAAAATCCGGAGTTAGATTCCTTGCAGTGAACAAAGTGCAGATAGCCAGTTGTGTAGCTTTGCACTAAGAAAACAATAAAAACCGTAAAGCTTGTGATTGAAAGGGACCGAATTACTATTGTCCGAGAGATGCATGATTTTACAATTTCACGTATGCATCAGGTCTCGCAATTTCCACACACGTTTTGCATATTCAAGGTTTCGAAAGGCCACAGTTCCTATGAAGTACAGGTAATTTGCCACGACAAGCGACTCCATACACCAACTCTGCGTTAACACATGAACTATATTCCAAATTAGGTGATGTAATTTTCTTTATCTGTTGTGTTAGAGCACAGGTTGGAGCATCTTATTGTTATCTTGATGTTTTATTTATAACAGACAATATGTTCAAGATCAGTCGATGAATTCACGTTACCCTCTTATCTTACTTTTATGTGATACTGTTTGTCATTTAGGCTCTTAATAACATCCTTTCAAACAGAGCAAGTTGCGAAGTTCCTGATGAGCAGATGTCCTGATGTGAACTCATGAACTGTGTATTTTTAGCAGTGGCATAGCGGCTCATAGAATGGCTCTGAGTTTGTTTGTTTTTTCAAGTACAAACGTTTAGCTCATAACTCCGTCATTTCTTGACTGATTTAAGGTCTCATTACAGTTTTGGACTCAGGAGTTCAAACCCTTTCAAGGTCTCATAGATTAATTTACTATATTCGTTCCAAAAAAAATTCAATTTGATGCTTGGCTAGTAGAGATCCTGATGAGTAATAAAATATAATTCATTTACTCTAATCCTGCCTAAAATAACTTCAAGTGTCGCGGCTATTGAGGATTCCCTCTTGCTTGTCTTTATTACATTTTAATTTTCAAAACTTTTTGACTCGTATGCGTATATGTATGGATACTAGTTATATAAGACGTTTAGATTAAACACTGTTATTGTATATAATGACATAGTTTAGTGTTACTATCTCTATGCATAGTGATTAATTAGTTATCATACAAACTAAATCTGGATGGTAATTCTAATTTTAAAGGAAGAATAGTATTTATGTTTCGTAACTATAATCATGATATTAAATGAAAAAATATATTTTCAGTTGCCTTTTGTGAGTTTCAATTTTAGGTGCAAAAATGCTATTAGCTTAAGCAAAATATAATTTGAATTTATTCGATTAAGAAAATGACTAAGATTTTTCGCAGAAATACGGAAAGATGAATTTTTGTTTCTTGGAAGATGACTGAAAATGCACATATGAGTTTTATTATACTTTCTTATTATTTGGAGTTCAAACCAATATGATGACGTCATTACTGCCATGATAAGTGAAAATATGTTGTATAGAAAGAGATATATATATAAAATAATCACGCTTACTGGTTACGATCATGACAGTTGACGCAATCCTGTCACACTGCATTGGTGGAACTATAGCGCGTTGGTACCACCCCATTTGGCTTGACTACAGCTTGTCCACGCGCCTCACGTTCATCTGATTTCTCCGGTTGGTAGAAGATAATCACGTGACTTTCAGTTTAGAGATGCTGTTATACTGAGTACACGACTAAGGGTTCTGTCGCCGAGAGCTAAGCCTAAACCACAGATAACATCCGAAGGAAGACTAAAGTATTTAATGCAGGATACCGACACAAAAAGCATACGATATAGTTTGTTTAAACAAGCCAATCTCGCACCAAGCTTATAGACCTATAAACAATAATAGTACTTATTCATGCTCTAGTCGATTGTCTGAGAAAGCTGAAGATAGAAGAATAAGGTAAGCCGTCCTCATTCATGTCAAATCGCGAGCATATTTTATAAAATTACCAATAAAACAGCAGTGAAAATTGATTTTATCAAATCCACCTTATGTTTATAAACCTTAAATTTTGCTATTATCAGCTTAATGTTTAGAAACACGACAATTCAACCGACCATTTATTGATGTACCTTAAATATTAATACATCTATATCCCAAATTATCATTCGTGTTTAAGCTAAAGAACTGCTCAATTGAATACATGTAAATAGTTTTTGTTAGGAGTTCAAAATACGTAAACAAGAAAATTCGTTGTAATTGAAAAGGTAAGACCTATTTGTAAAATATAGCTCTGTTAAATGTTGTAAGTTCTGTTTAGAAATCAATAGGTTTACATTAAATATTTGTGTAGTACTTGACAAAGCTGTCTTAGATCCTGTGACCCGTTTTAATTATTCTTAACAATAGTTTATTTAGGAAAGTGAATGAACATCAGTACAATTACCAAATGGTAATTTTACTTTGTCCTTTCTTTTACTGATACTACCAAAAATCACTTTACGAATACAGCTAATGGCAACCTTTAGTAACAAGCCTTATAACGACAGAGAAGTTTTTTGGCCTAAAGCATAAGTTCTTTCTGTAATTTGACAAATTAAGAGACACCAGCATTAAACATAGATTGTTTGTTTTTTGTCATCACAACTTTAAAAATCAAGGCAACTTCTAGACAAAGATAGTGGCCTCATTATAATGATATTGTAATTCGTTCGTTTTTAATCCAAGTGGCTCAACAGTAAGCTTCAGAGATTATAACGCCTAATTTAGGGGTTCGATCCCTACGTTCGGAACAGTACAGATAGTCTGATGTTCAGCTTTGTGCTCAACAACAAATAAACAAAGAAGTACTTATTTTTAACACACCTTGCCAATTCCAAACCTACATTCATTGCAATAATATTTGTATAATGTATTCGTTTTTCAACCCAAGTAACAAGTTCTAAAAGTCACAATAAATGTAATAATATTGTTATGTATTCTTTTTTAACCCAATAAATCAGTTCTAAAACTTACATTCTTGTAAATATATTCCTTTTTAATCTAAGTGGTCAGTTCTAAAACTCATACTCTTGCATTGTTTTGTGTAGTTTTTCGCCTAACCTAGTTTCATAACTTTTTAACAACCATTAATCTGGCACTCTCGCAGATATAAAACTATCATATTGTACTTTCAGAGGTCTTATGTTACCAGGTTACAGGACTCTTAATCCTCTTTTTTAACCCTAATAAACATAAATCTAGCACTTTCAGAAATCTTAAATTACCAGGTTACAGGACTCTTAATCCTCTTTTTTAACCCTAATAAACATCAGATATCTTAAATTACCAGGTTACAGGACTCTTAATCCTCTTTTTTAACCCTAATAAACATCAGATATCTTAAATTACCAGGTTACAGAATTCTTAATCCTCTTTTTTAACCCTAATAAACATCAGAGATCTTAAATTTCTAGGTTGCAAGATTCTTAATCCTCTCGCTTGAACTCTCGTAATTTAGCTCTTTCAAAGCTCTTAAAGTACCACGACAAAGAGTCTTTATCTATTTGTTTTCACCCATCTGTTAAGTAAATGGAAGTAAACGATAATAAACAAAATATAACTAAATTTGTGATATCAAATACCAATATATTTTTACCCAATGAATGTATTGTATAGAATATCACAAATCAAAGTTTAAAATGAAAAAGAAACTTAGTATTTTATCTCACATGGCTGACACAAAGAACTCATAAAGCACAATATATATATTTAATTTACATAACAAATATAAAACTTGATAACCTGTAATGTTATATTTCACTTTACCTGCAGGGATAAGCACAACTGTGTAAAAGACAAATGTTCTAAAAAAATGTCGAGAACATATGTCTCACATGAAGTCATCCGTTGGGCCAGCGGTAAGTTCAATTCACCATGGTGGACAAAGTGCAAATAGCTCATGGTGTTGTTTCGCTAGTTTTGCACTAACGAAACAACCGTAATCGTTTAATCTAAAAAAAACCTAATTTAAAAAAAACAATAAACGGGCAACATGTTGCTGTGGTTTAAGTAATGGTGTTAAATGTGGTTTAAAAATATCTTTTACCAAGGCTGAAAATTGTGTTTATGACCACAGAGGTTGAGTACGTTATATTAATAATCTTGGAGCCTCATCCCATCATTACAGTCAATGTCACCATGTCTTGTTATGCTTGATTCTCAACAACAGCCCTATAGCTTAGATTAGATAGATTTCTTCACTATGTTTAAGACTTCATAAATAATTATTATTTAAGTATCGAAAATCTTAAGGTTGCACACTTATCATGACGGAATTAAATATTTCTCTTGTTCAGTTCATTCCAATAATCTAATTTCTTATTCACGATTAATATATCCTCTTTGATATACACCGCATAGCATAGCAATGTAAGTCGGACGTGGCATAGTGGTCAGTTTTCCGGAATGTGAATCCGGGTGTCGTTGTTTGCGTCCCATTGCTGCAAAAATGTACTCCTCTATCATTTCAAAATTAGGGAAAATTAGCTCAGAGAACCCTTGTGTAGCTTTCCGTAGGGAAGG